GCTGAAACAGCTACTTTGGCGAGGAATGGCTTATGTGAGCCAATCCGAGCGATGAGGGGGCTTGATAACAAAAACTGAAAAAGTTCCAAATAAAACCGGAACCCGTGAAAACCTCGTCCAGGATTGACCGGCCTGCAATCTAAAAAGCCCACCAGACCATTACTCCCAAAACCAAATAGTGGCTCGCAAGTCCCGGGCGCCTCTGACCCACAATACCAACGCCAACCCCTTCCAACATGTCGACATTGTCAAAGGACATCCCACGCACGAATCGGCCTCGCCGAACATCTTCAGACTCAACCCACTAGTATCGCAGCCACTTGCAGCATCAACACTGCCATCAAGTCATTTACCCCAAATTATCCTGCCCGTACTGTTGACGAAAATGCAAATCACGCATTGATCTGATCGATCGCATGCAAATACGTTGCACTGAGACCGTCAAACCCATACCAGGAGCATCAACACAGATCTGTCGCCTTCATCTCAACTGTCAGCATTGACCACGCATATTCAGTCACCACGTGGGCCTTTTCGCCCACAAGTGCCTCCACGCTATTTTGCGAAAGACACAGACCGAACCCCAACAAAACATATCTATTCAAGCCCACACACTACACCTGAACGCGTTCTACCTCATCGACCATGGTCGCCGCAGACAGGCACGCCTTGCGCAAGTACGAGGCATGCTCTCTGGTTTCCTCTCGTGCCCTCTAGGGCGCTCGAACGCATGTGAGGTACAAGCTGCCCATTCCCCGTGTAAAAACCTGGTGTGTTGTGCGGGCGGAATATAGAGTGAGGTCAACTCCGTGTACTCTGTTCCCGTGGTGCGCAGCGTATATTATTCACTATAAACCAGTTGACATATATTTAAATGCCACAATGTGCCAAAAGTCGCGGATTGGAAGGCTGCTAACTGGCGGAGAAACTCGGACTCCTCTGAACGGATAGTCATACCGCAATGACTCATTCTTAACGTATCCCTTATGGTTCCCCACGCAGTTGTGATTCGAGCCGCATCTTTCCTGTCTCGATGAAAACCTAGTGCATCGTGTGATTGACAGGCGTGCGGGGCACGAGTAGAAGAAATTGTTAGCTTTATTGGCCACTGCGCCAGATCCTATCTTCGATCTTCTTGCTTCGGTCTTGACATCCGGCTTAGGTAGGTGAATGAGGAAAATGTAGTAAACGTTGCGTAAGTCTGCATCTCCATAGACTCAGGCACACCCAAATCAATGTGACAGTGCTCAGGTTTTTATGTGATTCCACTCGAGTGGTAAGTGGGGCGGATAAAATCGATCCAAGTGTGATTAAATTCACGGCGCACGGCTTGGCATCGTAGCTCAATCGGTAAATCGTTGGCTGCGTTAAAGCCTTCCCTGCTGTGCGGGTTCGGCTCCCGCCGACGCCGCGAGTTTTTTCACAATTGGGTCAACTAAATTAAGCAAATCTGC